ATTGACATAAATGTACCAATACATAAGGGATATGCTGAGAAAACTGTCAACTAGCATTATCTCAATTGGTGATCCTATAATTTTTCATTAAAATATTTAGAATTATTGGCCAAGATGTTTCTTTAACTGAGGAGGAAAGAAAGGACACTACCTAAATGTGTAAAAGAAAAATGCAGAGGTTATAAAAATGTAAAGAGATAAAAGTCTTTGGAATTTGTATATATATATATATGTATGTATGTATGTATATACACATATACATATACATATATGTATATATGGGTCTGCCTTAATATACTCTTTTTTTGTTTGTGACTTTTAGCTATAATCAGTTAATAAAGTATTTATTCTCTGCATTCAGGTTCAAAGAAAAAAAAAGACATACTACAAAACCATAGTAACCAAAACAGCATGGTATTGGCATAAAAACAGACACATGGACTGATGGAACAGAATAGAGAACCCAGAAATAAATCTCCACATCTACAGACAACTGATTCTCAACAAAGAAGCCAAAAATATACACTGACGAAATGACAGCCTCTTTTACAAATTGTGCTGGGAAAACTGCAGAATATTGAAGCTTTCCCCTATCTCTCATACTGTACAAATAATATCAACTCAAAATGGATGTTAGTATAAGACCTGACACTCTAAAACTACTCTATAGGGGAAACATGTCAAAATATCAGAACAGGCAATGACTTTCTGGATAGACTCCAAAAGCACAGGAAACCAAAATAATCTTGACAAATCGGATCACATCAAACAAAAAAGCCTCTGTGCAGCAAAGGAAAATAATCAACAAAATGAAGAGACAACCTACTGAATGGGAGAAAATATTTGCCAGCTATTCACCTGACAGTAGATTAATATCCGGAATATATAAAGACCTCAGAATCTTAACAAAACCTAGCATGGTAGTGCACGTCTGTAATCACAGAACTTGTGAGGCTGAGGTAGGAGGATCATGAATTCAAGGCCAGCCTGGGCTACATAGCAAGTTCCAGGCCATCCAGGGCTGCATAGAAAGACAAAACAAAATTTAACAACAATAACAACAAAGCACAGGTAATCAAATTTAAAAACTCGTCAAATGTTCTAAATGAGATACTTTCCAAAAGGCAAAATACAAATGGCCAATAAATATATGCAGAATGCTCAACATCATTAGCCATCATGGAAATAAATATGAAAACTACGAGAAGTTCTATCCCACCCTAGGTAGATTGATTATTATCAGAAAATGATGAACACAATTGAGGATATAGAGGAAAAGGAGCCCTTATACAAGATTAGTCTCTATGAAAACCATGATACAGTCTCTATGAAAAACAGTTGGAAGTTTCTCAAAAAGTTAAAAATAGACCCAGCTATCCTACTTCTGGGTATATATACAAAGAAAATGAATTCAGTGTACAAAAGATACCTGCATTCACATGTCAGTTTGATATTATTCACAATATCTAAGCTATGGAATCAGCCTAGATGCCTCTCAACAGATGAGTAGATAAAGAAAATGTTAAACACACACACACACACACACAATGGAGTATCAGCTCTAAAAATAATGAAATCCTGTAATTTTCAGCAAAATGGATGGAAAAGGAAGATATTATGTTAACCAAAATAAGCCAGACATACAGAAAGACAAGCATTTCATGTTCTCTATCCTATATGGAAAGTTTAAAAAAAGACACATAAGAAGATTAGTAGGGATTGGAAAGTGTACTGTGGAAGTGGGAGAAGGGGTGAGGAAAGAAGAAGGATGGATGGACATGATCAATGCATGATGATCAATGTATATGCATGTATGGAAAGATTGTGACTCCCATTAATTTGAACAATTAACACATTATTGTAATTAAATTTTTTTAAGGAAAGGTAGAACAAAGGGGACTCATTTCATTTTTCCAAACCTACAAAGTTTCAGTACTTATGACATTGTGGTTTTGTATAAGGATAGACATATAGATTAGTCTGTTAGAATTGAAAGTCCAGAGCTGAACTCATCAATTTCTGGTGAAATGATATTCACTGAGAATGCCAAGACAGTTTTATGGGATTTTAAACAAGTGTAAGAAAAGCTGGGTGTCCAGATGGGAGATAATGAGTTTGGACCCAACCTCCATACCATATACAAAAATTAACTCCAAATAGATCATAGACCTAAATGTAAAAGCTAATACTAAAACTCTTAGAACACATTGAGGGTAAATCTTCATGACCTTGGCTTAGGTAACAGTTTCTTAGATACAAGACCAAAAGCATAAACAACAACAGAGGAAATAGGTAAGTTGAACTTCATGAAAATTGAAAGCTCTTCTACTTCCAAGGTCACCATCAAGAAAAATAAAAATTAAAATGTTTACAAATCATATACAGGTTTATTTCCCAAATATATAATGAGCTCTTACAGCACAACAATAAAAGGCAATACAATCTAAAAATAATTAATTTTAATGCATATTTCTCTGTACGTATTCAAATGGCCAATAAGCACATAAAAGAAACTCAATATCATTATCTTTAAAGAAACATAAATCAAATTGCAATGGCTTACTAATTAACATCCACTTAAAAAGGCAAACAATATTGAGCATTGGTGATAATCTCATACATTGGTGTTGCGATTATAAACTCCTGGGGCCACCTTAGAAAGCAGTTACAGTTACTCAAAATCTTAAACATGGAATTACCACATGATCCAGCAGATCCTCTCATAAGTATGTACTCGAGAATAGAAAACATGTCCACACCAAAAAACCTATCATAAATATTTATCCCATCATTATTCGTAATAACCAAAAAGAAGAATCCAAATGTCTACCAGTTGGTATGCAGATAATCAAAGTGTAGTATATTCATATTATGTAGTATTTATTATCCAGCAATGAAATGGAATAAAGCACTGATAATGCTATGACATGAGTGAGCCTTGAAACTATTGTGATAAGTGAAAGAAATAATTCACATATTAGCCAACATATTATACAAAATAGATAAGTTCACAGAGATGAAAAGTAGTAATTTAATAGTTCCTAAGGACTGGGCTAAAAAATAAATGGAATGACTCCTAATGCATATGGGATTTCTTTGGGGGGAATGATGAAAATGTTACAAAATTAGATAGGTGTGATACTTGCATAACTATGACTATACTAAAAAATATTGAATTATATATTCTAAAATAGCTAATTTTCTGGTGTGCGAGTTAAAACATACCTACCATACGGTCCAGCCATTCCATTCTTAGATATTTATGCAAGGGAAAAGAAAGCCCTCCATCTGTGGATTCCACCTCTGGTGGATTAAACTGATCACAGATCAAAAATATTTGTGGGAAAGATGTATCTATACTGAACATGTACCAAGGTATTTTTTTCTCTTCCATTATTCCCTGGACAATAGAGTATAATTATTTACATAGCATTTATAATGTGTTAGGTATTGTAACTAATCTAGAGATAATTTAAACTATATGGTCAGCCCAAGCATGGTGGTGTACACCTATAATCCCAGCACACATGAAGCTGAGGCAGGAGGATCATGAGTTCAAGTCCAGCCTGGCCTACATAGTGAGACTCTATCTCAAAACAAAATAAAACAAAACAAAAAGTATATGGGAGGATGTGCACAGGCTACATGTAAATACTATACCATTTCATAAAAGGGACTTGAGCATCCACAGACTTTAGTATTTGAGGAGTTTTCTAGGATTAATCTTCCACAGATATCGGTGGACTACTATATTTCTACACAAAGTTGTGTGCATGAATGTTCATAGCAACTTTATTTATAATAGCCAAAAGCTGGAACCAAACCAAATGACTATCAATGTGGTATACTATTCAGCAATACAAAGACATTAATTTCAAGCTGAATATTCTCTATCCAAAAATCTTTGGACCAGAATGTTTTGGATTTCAGATTTCTATCGGATTTTAAAGTATTTGCAAATATATAATTAGATATCTTAAGGCTATGATGCAAGTCTAAATGTGAAATTCATTATCGTTTCATGTATACCTTATACACATAGCCTGAAGGTATCTGTATGCAGTATTTTTAGTGTGCCTGTTTTGACTGCAACCCATTCCTCTTATGGCATCATCATGTCAGTTCTCAAAAAGTTTTAGATGTATAGCATTCTTTATTTCAGACTTCCAGATAGGGATACTCAGCCTGTATTGATACATCAGCAGATTGGGTGAATATCAGAATAGTTATGCTGATTGAAAGAAGGTAGGCACAAAAGGAATACGTTCTCCATGATTCCATCTAAGATAGAAGATACAAACCAATCTACAGTGAAGTCTGGGAGGGGCCACAAAAAGGAATTACAAAGGAACATGTATGAACTTGAAGGCAATAACCATGTTGATTATCTTGATTGTGGTGATGCTTTCATGGGTGTATACATACAGTATATATGGAGTCACAAGTGCATAAAAATGTAAAGACTTACAAAAGTCCTTACATTAATTTATTAATTTATTATTTTTTATTAAAATAATAAATTATTTCACATAATTTATTAAATGTTGATTATATGAGTTGGTTTATAAGCTTATGTCAAAATAAGAAAAAATAAACTCCCAATTGTCTGTGTGGCCAACATACAAACCACTATTCTGAATGTTCTATGAAAAGACGTTGAGGATATGGTAGTATAATGAGATATAGTAGTCCTGAAAAGAAAATGTTATACCTGTGCTGGGGTTAGAGAGCTAGAGAAGATAAAATGAGAAAGCATTTAAGTAACTGGACTATTTGAAACACTCTTGTTTTGTTTTGTTTTTTTCTTTTCACTGGTATGAGTCAATATTTGATGCTTCAGGGGAAAGTAGTTACTGTTAGGGAGTAATTCAGACTGGTTGTCGCTGGCCCACTGACAGTTTGAGTCCAAATCATATATTTTGAGATTTGTCTCTTAACATCCTTATTTAAAATGTGATTTACTCTTAGTCTGCCTAATCCCCATAATTTGTTCTCCTCAGTCCTACACACCTCCAAGCAACGAATTCAAGATCAGCATGAAATTGGAAGCACAGGATCCCAGGAATACCACCTCCACCTGTATTGCCACAGTAGTTGGACTGACAGGTGCCCGCCTACGTCTGCGCCTTGATGGCAGTGACAACAAGAATGACTTCTGGCGGTTGGTTGACTCAGCTGAAATCCAGCCTATCGGAAACTGTGAGAAAAATGGGGGCATGCTGCAGCCCCCTTTGGGTGAGTAATTAGACCCACGCTGTCCCTATTCAGTTAGGTTCCAAAAGTTAGAAATTCTATTACGGGAAAGTCTCAGTTCTCCTGTCTATCCCTTTTTTCATATGGTCTCCCAGAAAGTCCCATCCAAAGTGAAATAAACTGAAAAATCTGAACATTTCCACTTCTACATTGGCTTATGATATCCAGTATCTCTCACACTCTTCCTTTTCCTGACCAGAAATTGCACCCTTCGTCCTTTCCTTTCTGTCAACACTCACTTACCTTGAAAGAGAAAGTAGAAGTCAATCTTACCACTTAATGTACTTCAAAAAACATAGTGCCCTGCTTCTCTCACACACTAAATAAATAAATCAAGCAAGCTAACTAGCGAGCTTTTACCAAACCCTATCTAATAATGACAAGGGGCAAAAGAAAACTTTCCCAGTAAAAAGGATGACTGTTATAAGGATCTCTTATCTCTTCTCCCCTAAATTATAATATGGTCCTTGAAATTTTTTGTCTGAAATCATTATTAAGAAAATCTTATTATTTTACTTAAACTATTAACTCCAATAGACTTTTCTCTTCCAAATCAGATGCACCTTTTTTGCCTCAGTATACCTGAGAAAGTCAGTTCATCAATTACTGTCATTAGTGCAGTGAACCTCCATTAGGGACAGAAATTGATTATGGTCTTTGGGCCATGTTCTCCTCAGGAAGTTGAGCTAGGTTAATCAAAGTTAGGGAATATATATCATTTGAAAGAGTTCCCCAAGTGCTTGTTTAATATTTTTCTTCCATGTAAAAATCATTTTATATAATGTTTCAAATATATATAATTAAATAACACAGTGAATGTCCATGTATCCTTTATTGTTGATAATTACCAACACATAGTGAATTTTATTTTGTCTATACTTATATATACTCCCTATCCTCTCTTGCCTAAGTGCCCAAACAGTATCATTTTATCGTGAAATAGTATGTCTTTCCCATAGGATATTTTTGAAACATAACTATAATGCCACTATTGTAAGAAAATAACTAATAATTCTGTAATGTCAGTACATATTTGACAGTGTTTAAATTGCTCCAGTTGTCTTTCTCAACTCTCCTCCATGCATGCACATGCTTTCTCTTTCTCATGTTTTTTTGAATCAGGATCTAAGATCCACACATATTGTAGTTGGTTGATGTGTCCCTAATGTTTCTTTTAGTCTATGAATATCCTCATTTTTTCCTTGCCATTTATTTGTTGAAAACTCCAAGTTACTTGTCTTTAAAATTTCCCACAATTATATTTTGCTGGTTATATTGCAGTAGTATCATTTAACATGTTTTGCTGTTAACATGTTTACTGTGTTTCCTGAAATTGGTAACTAGAACTAGATATTTTACAAGATTGAGGTTCAGTTTTTCACAAAAATATTTCACAGATGGGGTTTTTTATTTCTGTCAGGAAATGTATATGATTTAGTTGCCTCTTATTTTATAATGTAGCAGCCATTGATGCTCATAGTCTGGGTTAGGGGACAACAGATTTTCTTAATGTGTCAGATAGTAAATATTTTAGACTTGAATACCATATGTTCTATATCACAACTACTTAGCTTTGCCCTTGTAATTTGAAAGCTGCCATAGATAATACATAAATGAATTGGCAGAGCTGTGTTCCAATAAAACTTTATTTACAAACAACAGATGACCAAGCCTTCTGGCTGTAGTTTGCTAAACCCTGATTTAGGTCCATCAATTCATTATGGCTTCGAAATGAGACATTTTAATCCTGCCATTCTTTCTACATAAATAAAGTAGAATGCATCTGCTAAGATAAACTTTCATTGCCTCTTTGGATATCATGAGATATAGTTCATACAGGATTCTTTTCTTTATTTTCAGAATAATGAATTGGTTTACTAGCATCCTTCAAAAGTATTTAAGGAAAGTTGTTTAGTATCATAAACTCAAGAATCCATGCATATTTGTTGTGTTTCAGTTCCTCACATTAATTGTGCATATTTATGCTCAGTTGTCCCATTTGGGGCCAGAAGGAGCCTCATCAGGTTGTCCTTTGACTCTCTTAATTATATTAGTACTGTTTGGTAGCTCTTTGAAATGTCAGAATGTTCCAGGTTTATTAGCTTTTGTCCCTTTGACAAAATACCTGAGATAAAGAAAGGAGGAAAGATTTATTTTGGCTCATGGTTTCAGAAGTTTCAGTCCATGGTCACTTGGCTCTGCTGCTTCTGAGCCTGGTTGTGGTAGGGCAGAGCCTGATGGTAGAGCAAAGTATCTTACCCTATAGTAGACAGAAAGCAGAAAGACTGAGATGAAGGATCTGGGGACAATATAAACTCTTGAAAGTTATGCTCCCAATGACACACTATCTCCACATTCATCTATGAGCTCATCAGTGGACTAATCCATTGATGAAATTAGAGTCCTCATGATTCATTTACCTATCAGTGATTAGATCTATCAGCTGGGGACCAGCCCTTCAACACATGTGCCGTTGAGCGGAGGGCATTTCATATCTATATCATAACAAGAATCATTTTATATATTTCTTGCCCCAATGTGTAATCAGCTATTTCTTCCAGATGCTTAGGCTCCTTTTAGTGAAAAATTGTATTTAGAGACCATAATCTGGTATATATGTATGTGCCAGAAGCTTTACATAATTGTTAATGATATCAGAGAACTGGAGTAATGAGGGATATATATATGCAGTTTATTTATATATATTTGCCTGTAAAGTGTTTTACAAATGATAGCTTACTCTACAGTACTTTTCTCAGCCTTTTTTCATTCATTGATAGGCCCTAAAGACAACTTCACAGTAGTATGGAGATATTCCTTATTCCTTTTCACAACTACATAGTTCTATATTATTCTCTTACTACTTTATGACTCACTATGAAGTATCTAGAGAGAATATTTTAAAAAATAAGTTCCCAGGGATAATAGAAACCATCTAAATTAAAGCCTTTTTTCAAAAATTCTCTAGAATCCTACATATCAAAAAGGAAAACAAATCAAACTATTCATAACCTACTATAACTAGGAATTAAGAATATCAAAGTTTTCAGTTACATGTTAGTGGAGATATGAAGATCTGCTAGCAGCAGAGCCAGTACCAGACCCATGCCAGAATGAAGAGTTTATGTAGGTGGAAACTATTAAAAAATGAGGGGGCCATGGAGGTCTAACACAGCCAAAATTTCCCTAGAAAGAGATAGTTTCATCCAGAATGGGAAATACTGAGAACAAGCTAAAACCTTGTGGATTAGAGTATAGGCTACTAGAGAATCAGAAAAGAGAGTCCAAGTTGATAGTGTGAAAGAATAGAGATTACATTGCAGTCTTGGGAAGAAAATGACCTTTCAGGGAGAGGGAGACTTGCTATTGAAGGAGAAAAAGAAAGGAAGGGGTAGAACTTAAGGTTATGTAGAATCAAAGAGTATCATAAACTCAAAAGACGTTCCAATATTCTCATCCCATCCCAAAAAAGCCCATCTATTAAAGAACATTTCACTGTGTCAACTCTTAAGTTCCCTGCCAAAATAAGACCTCTCATTTTTGTTGGTCCAGGAAAAAAAAGACACTTTAAAGTAATAAGGAAATAGCAGTCAACATCCATAAAAATCCTCTATATGAAGAAAAACAGATGAGGATGTAAAACTATTTTAGCTACTGAAAATTCTGCTGCCAAAACCAGTGACTAATCAGAGGGAAGCTATTGCACAACAGCCCAACTTGAGCTGAAGAAGTTCTGACAGATAGGGACAAATACTGTGTATTGTAGATGGTGGAAATCACACTAGAAATGTAGAATAGACAAGAAGATGTGAAATAGAATTATCTGACTGGGTACACATGATGGTATACAACTATAATCCCTGTTACCTGGAAGGTGAATATATGGAGAGTTACAGTTTGAGGCCAGCCGAAGCAAAAAGTTATACCTCATCTTAACAAACAGTCTAGGTGTGTTGGTTCATACTGTAAACCCAGCATAGGTAAGGCATACATGAGATTGAAGAATGAGGCATAGGAAAGGAAGGCAGAGAAGGAGGAGGAAATAGAAGAAACAAAGTCATCTCACTTGAAGAATCAATTCCAAGATGACAAAGGGACAGTAGATTCAACTGAAAAAACATAAGGGACATTGAAGAGAGAAATATAAATAATCAAGGAAAAAAATCTTAAGTGGTTTAAAAAGTCTCAGAAAGGAACTTCTAGATACAGAACACAATCAACAGGGGTCCCAAATGTAGATGTATATGTATGTATGCATGTGTCGTTGGAGCCCCTAAAGAAGATAAACAAGGGCTGGTGGAGTGGCTCAAATAGTAGAGCATCTGCTGAGTAAGCATGAGGCCCTGAGGTAAAACCGCAGTACTGCCACAAGAAAAGAAGATAAAATAATATAAAAGAATGACAAGAGGCCACAAACAGCCAAGGCAATACTCAGTCAAAAGAACAACGCTGGAGGTATCCCGACTTCAAACTATATTACAAAACAATAACAATAAGAGCAGCATGGTACTGGCACAAAAACAGTCATGAAGACCAGTGGAACAGAATAGAGGACCCAGATACGAAGCCACCCAAATATAACCAACTTGTCTTTGACAAAGTCGCTAAAAATATACGATGGAGAAAAAGCAGCCTTTTCAACAAAAACTGCTGGGGAGACTGGTTAGCAGTCTGCAAAAAACTGAAACTAGATCCGTGTTTACCACCATATACCAATATTAACTCAAAATGGATCAAGGATCTTAATATCAGACCCCAAACTCTAAAGTTGGTACAGGAAAGAATAGGAAATACTCTGGAATTAATAGGGATAGGCAAGAACTTTCTCAATGGAACCCCAGCAGCTCAGCAACTAAGAGATAGCATAGATAAAGGGGACTTCATAAAACTAAAAAGCTTCTGCTCAACAAAAGAAATGGTCTCTAAACTGAAGAGAACACCCACAGAGTGGGAGAAAATATTTGCCAGCTACACAAAGGACT